GAATGAACAAAAATTATATTACGAAAGAAAATTGAAATAATGATTCTCTTAACAGGACGAAAAATAAACTTGTAGTTGAAAATTTCAAATTTGTCATTTTTCCTTGTTCGGTATATAGATGGCTCAAAAAATGAGTTGGTAAGTTCAATAAATAAAAAAATTACAATAGCCAATGTTAATCCTTTGGAAAAAGAAAAATACTTTTTTATCAAAAATTTTAAGAGAAAAAAAATCATTGATTTTCATCTGTGCACCGAGACTAAAAATAGGAAACAAATACAAAGAAAAGAAAAATTCGAATCCCAGCCGTTGTTATAGCAACTAGTGAGCGAAGTGTAGTACGAGCATATATAAGCTGTCAAGTGTAAATATCGAAAAGCAATGTTGCATTTAAATAAAATTTTTATTGAGAATATAAAATAAAAAAATTAGTTTCATGAAATTCTTTCAAATTTAATTTTTTAAAAATTTATAAATGCAATGAGACTTTTTAAGTATTTCTTATGGAATAAAATTGTAAATACAACTATCATTGATATTATTCAATTTGTGTTTAACAATATCAAGTACTTATACTTATACTTTATATTAGTATAAAAACTAGTAAGCAGTCTTTTGTACTTAAGCTTTGAGTTCCAAATTTAATTATCTACGCCTAGAAAAAAGACATCAAAAACAGTTTATAGTGCTAACAAATAACTATAGGAACAGAGCAACTGAGTATAAAACTCAAAAAAATCGCAATGTAATTAAATTTTGCAAATTCATTGAAATTGAGCAAAAAATTCGCAAAATATGCACAACGGAATCATAGGCAATACGGAACTGAACAATTCGGAATACAAGAAATCAATAAAATTGGAATCTGAATCATCCGCAATTTTAAGGAGATTTTGCCTCGTAACGGGCTTTTGTATTTTTCCCAATAATTGCGAGAAAGGTACTTTCAATCTCTTCATACAAAATTTTCAAGATGGCGAAACCCAAAGTGAAGATTTGTTTATTTATGTAAATAGAATCTTTTCAGATATGAGATTTGATGTCAACTTGAATTTTTTGATCCCCATATAATTTTTATTGATTTAAATAGAAAACTATTGTTTACCAGGAGTATTGAAATCTGCCCGTAATATGATACAAGATATCTACAAGTATATACATAAGTACACTCATAGAAAGCAAAAAATGTTACCAAACATTTGTAACTTGTATGAAAAATGTTAACAAATAGTTCATTAAAATAGTGTTTACAACATTATTGGTTAAAGTGAATTGTTACCATAATGTTTGGTAAATTTACCCCCCGTGAAGCATGGGAATGTTTTGGGCTTACATCGGGGTTAAAAAATTTAAATTGAGATAAAAATCATTTTTGAACTTTGGTATTTGAGAATCAAAACATTGATTCTCTATTTACAAAAACAAGATTACCGTCAGGGCTTAGAGCGGAATGACAGATTGAAACACAAATTAAGGTTTTTATCTGCTTTTATATTATCATATCCTAACAGACAAAGAGCATGCTCTTTATCAAGAGTACGGTTGAGAATACGCTTTTTTAACGTTCCTCAACATCCCAGTAAAGAGCATGTTTAATAGCGGATTCAATCATCCTCTAATTATAAATAACTTGCGTGCAAGTTTTTACAAGCGCTAGCAAAAACCGCTAGTATAACTCCTATATACTTCACAAGAGAAAGCAGAAATCACTATTATAAGTAATTATTTTGGACTATCTATAGTTTAAATATGTGTTATCGCCATTTGAAAGTTATTCAATTGCAGAAGGCATTAGACAAAATGAACAGTTATCAAATCACGGAAATCACCAAAAAAGAATAATTATATCAATTTCTCAAAAACATGATCAAGAGCACAATCACAAGCTCATAAATTTTTTAAATAGTAAAATTAAAGCATGATCAGCAGAACATGTTCTTGATCATATTCTCAAATTTAACTTGAATGTGAAATTTGCAAGTTAAAAATTACAAAAGTCCTCGTGTTATTGATCGAGGGCCCTTAAAAATATGACTTTTTTCACAATCCTCTCTCTCACAACGAGCAAATTTTTTTTCATTCTTTTTTACACTTTTTTGATAGATAATGATGTTTTGTGGTGAAATTTTCCATTTTCAAATTTTTCCATGCATTTTCAGAGTTTTATTATTTTTTCAATACATTTTTCATACAATTTTAACATTTTTGTCATAACTTTTGCTTCATTTGTTCATTTGAATCATTTTTGAAATTTGACATGGAGGTTCAGTTGCTGTTTCTGAATATGGAACCGACACCATTTTGGATTCCAAGGGATGGAAGCCCATGCAAAAGTTGATTTTACTTTTGTTTTGAACTTTTCCGTTACTTTTCAAAAAATTTTAAGACGTTACTATTCAATTAATTCAATTAAATTTTTGACCGGTTTTTCAAATATTTTTTGACCGTTATTTTTCAAACTTTTGAAGTTTTTGGATTTTAATTTCTACTCGAATTCTGTGCGGGGAAAATGCGCTTCAGTCGATCACGTGTGATCACCTCTTTACTAGTTAAATATTACTATCACTACCGCAAAAACTTTACACGGAGGACAAGATCTACAAAAAGTCAAGGATAGCAACAAAAAACAGCAATGACGAATGATTCACGACACACAAATTATGCCTAGGTAAAGGGCCATGCAATAGTGCATGCAATATTCAAGATAAAAAAACCTGCTGTTGGAACTCTTAAAATTTTAAATTTTGAATTTCAACAATTTACGTCTGAAACCACATTTTTAAAAAAAATATTAATTTTAGCATTCAGACCTTAGAGATCCATAGCTGCGCGTTTTATGCGTTACAAGGCTAATGATAGTTTAACGAGAGAGGGTTCGCCAGACCTCCCGCTCAAACCTAGACCTATAGTTTACAGTGGGGTCCGAACCTCTCCTCTGATGATATTTCTGCCTGTAGCCTACAAAGGAAGGCCTCATTTCCAGTACATATGATTCGAAATAGGACAAGTGAACATTTCCCGTACCCAGTCTCGAACCCATGATCGCTGTGTCGGTATTGCAATAATTATGTCCCAAAGTACTTTACTATTCCGCCACGGAGCCACTTCAGCTCACATCGTCAAACCACATCTAGAACACTCAATTGTAATGATTAAAACTTATCAAGCTGAGTTAATAACAAAAAAAAATAGTTTAAAAAATCTGAAAAACTGGTAATTGAAAATATTTATTTTCAGAACTTTACACGAGCTTGCTAGGTAAGCGGCAGAATGACAGACTAAGTGATTGTTGATTATTGTATACTTAAACCTGAAGTATATATGTCATATTTTTCAAGAATCTGGGACGGAAAATATCCAGTAAATTCTTCTTCCGAAACAATTCATTTTTTAAAAATACTTCTTAAAAAACAGCAATTTTGATATATATTAATATATTAAAAAAACAAATTCCTAAATTGGTAGTAAACTGATAAAAAGTATTTACTTATTATAAATTTCATTTTAATTCAAGGAGAATTAGAACATAAAAAGGTTTTTGCAAAGATAGATTTCAACATACAGTTTGTATTGTATACTGCTAAAACTTCAGATAGCTATATCGAGGGGTTGATTTGGGATGCAAGTTTTCATGTATAAACATAATAAAATTGTGTGTGTATGTCGCCCTTCTTTTACTGTATACTTTGAACAAAATAAAATAAATGATGCTAATGTATTCGAATGCAGGGTAGTCATGGCAACGATAATGGATTAAATACACTCTTAAAATCATCATAAATGTTATATTGTACTCTATGAGCAATATCAGTAAACCAAATGGGAGAAATAGGAACTTTGGAAAAATATATATACATATATATGTATTTGGATGTGAGACACAAGTATAAATTATTGATTAAATTTTCTCTTTACACACATACATTCTTTGTACACTTTGATATCAAGTGAATGTGAAATCTTTTTATATCTCTTGCAGAATCTCTTGTGATTTTAATGTATTTTATATACATAATTCAATATTGGCTCAAATATAATACATTATATAAAAATTATCTTCAAGCTAAAGTTGTTATTAACTATGACATGTTAAGCATCCCTGTTTCACTAATCAAATGCCATACTTACACAAATCATCGCTTTGATGTATTGTAACAAAAGTTTTGTGACATTCCTTAAAGGTTTGTTAAATTTAGTTAAATTTGCTAACTTATTTAAATGAAAATAAAAGTATAATGACCAAATTAATCAAACAAAAAGACAAAAATTAAAATAAAACAACATACGACTTCATGGCTCTTGCAATCAGCTATCTTTTTTTACAACCTCGTTTTCATTTTATTTATCCTCAAGCTACTGTTGTTATATACTAAACTTTACGTAGCTCTGCACATGTACACAAAATTTGTACACGAGCAAAAAAACAGCATCCCACAAGTCAAAGGTAGGGGTAGGAAGAACAAAACACAGAAAATAGTATGTTTAGTCAGATATACAAGGAATGAGTAACAAAACATTCCCTCGAGGGATCACTCATTGCTTTATAACCAACAGATCGCTATATAAAGAAATGAATAGGGTGATTGTAAAAATTTCATTTTTACAAAAATGTTATGTACTTTTTTGTTTTGCACTTCGTTATGAATTTTCATCTCTTAAGCATATAAAAAGTACGCACACAACTGTGTTGTGGGTTTCAAGGGATGTGAAAACTTCACATACTTGTAATGCCAATCTTGTTAATTTTCTTAGTATAAATCAAAAAACAGTTTTAATTATTGGAATTAAATTTACAAAGTTTAAAAATATAGACAGTAAAAAAGACTTTTGTTCTTAATTGGGAGAAAATAATAAAGTATCAACAAATTGAATGAACGAACTCCCTACATTGAATAAAATTCTTTTTCACACAAATACGCTTTTATAATTCATATTTCTAGGATTTTCTGTAGTACATGATATACGTACGCTTAACATTTTTTTTGTATATGCTCGACAATCTTTCTCTTGCTCACAAACACAGTAGTTTTACCATTCAACAAAAGAAAGAAATATTTTTTGTGACTGATTTTATGGTCAAAGAATAACAAACTTAGTTTAGTTGAATATACACATAGAAAATAGATTGAAAATACTGACGTGCCGAATCATTTTATGACAGGTTTGATAAAAAAATTAGTTTTGATTATATATTTAAACAATTTCAAGATTTTTTTTTTATATTTTAGGTACACCCCCACAAAACAACATTACATTAATGAGACATTGATTTGCCATTGATGACTTAAATAAGTCCATTGTTTTTATTACTCTTTCGAATTTGATGCAATCAAAACTGCAATTGATTTTTAATAATTTAGAATTTTTAGATATTTAAACTGTGAACAAGTATAAAAATGGATCCTCATCACTTCAATTTTCATTTAAATCATTCACAAACTCTTAACCATCCACCCCCACCAACTTCAAGTCCCCCACAAAGCGTTCCTGGAAGAAGGTAAAAGTTAAATTTTATACTTTAACTACCTTATTTCTTATTCAATTTACCAAATTAGAACACCTTTGGGAACTGTCGGTATTGGTGGATTTTTTGCTCAGCCACATGCAGCTTCATCTCATCAAATACATACTGATGAGAATAAACCTAGTTCATTAATTCATGGACCGGACCTCAATGCTCCATCAGGAAGTGGAATATCTAACACAAGTAAACAGAAAGCTCGTCAAGGAAAATCTGTCAGATTGAACATTAATGCTCGAGAACGTCGTCGAATGCATGATTTAAATGACGCACTAGACGACCTAAGAAGTGTAATACCTTATGCTCATAGTCCATCTGTTAGAAAACTATCAAAAATAGCAACACTTTTGTTAGCTAAAAATTATATTCTCATGCAAGCAAATGCTCTTGATGAAATGAGAAGGTAAGTTTTGGTTGAATTTATAGATTAGATTATTAAATAATTGTTTTCTTAAAGACTGGTTGCATATATACAAAGTACTTCTGGGACACCACCACTAGATTTGACATCTTTTCCAGCAGCAGCAAAGCTCCAGCAATTATTAAACGTCCCACAAAGCCAATTGGAACAAATGGCTTCATCAAGTAATGCAAATAATAATTAAATGACTTGTATTAACTTAATTTATTATTTAAAATCTTTCTAGTCTATCTTTATGAGTTAATAATTTAAAACACATTTTTCAATAATTTATTATATTTCTTATAGAAAATTAATATGAATTTTAATACTTATAGATTATAAAGAATAGAAGTAAACAGAGTTAAAATAGAGATAACAGAATTATACAGCTGAAGCGCCAAATAAATTTCAATAAATTAGTTTTCAATGAACCTGTATTATCGTTTCTTTTTTAAAGATCATATCTAGAAAATTTAATTCAAATATTCCAAAGTAATCTGTTTTTTTTAAGAAACAACAATTGACTAGGATTTATATTTTGTGTAACATTGTAACGTTGGTTTCAAAATTCATAAAAATACCCAACAAGCTTAATATTACCCAAACAAAATGCATAATACTTTTAAAGTATTATCAAAGACAGTTAATAACTGTCAGTTGATTTTGAAAAGTATTGAGTACCCCGAAGCAGCAAACAGAAAAAATTACATTTGTATGTGTTAAGCAACATAATTTTTAAAATAGTGTGAGTATAATATTATATGAAAATTTTCAATCGAAGAGTCACTAAAATTTTTATCTGACTCAGAAAATTCAATTAAAATAAAAAGTTAACATTTTTGGTAACAGTTTTTTACCTTAAGTTTTTCTATTTGAAATCTGTACTAAGGACATGTGAAAAATTAAAGAAAAACTCAAATATAAAGAGAAAGATTTAAAAGCTACTTTGCTTAAAACAAAATCATTAAATTAAAACTATTAAACGGAAAATATTTTCTATTTAAGTGGAAACGAATTGTTAAAAAAATTACATTGCATTTCTTTATCAAAATCAGGTAAAATAAAATTTACTTGCGTCAAAGGAAAAGAAATTTTAATATTAACAAGAGAGAATGAGTATTTAATCTGTATGTGTGGACAAAAAACTATAATGTGTTGTAATTTTTGAAGTTCAGAGTTAGTTTCTTTTAATAATCTTACTCTTGTTTTAACAAAAACAATATCATACATAATACCATTGGAATGGAAATTTTAATATTTTTATCACAAACAATTATGTGGGATTAGTGTTTTAATATATTTATGTTCTAATTGTTTTTTTTTTGTGTCACTTTCATGATTATTCGATTTAAAAGACACCAGAACCAGATTAAATTATTAGATTGTGTTGGTTTTTACATTTATGAGAATATATAAAATGTTATTTATCATAAACTTAATATAATATAATTAAATGTCTCTTTCAACATTCTTTTTGATTTTGCATGATCTTTTAGTTATATTCTAATTTTTTTTCAATTTTTACATTTATTTTTCAACAGATTCCTATTGTTTATTACGCAGGAAAATATGAAAGCTATCATAATTTTAAGTCGTTGATTTTGTTTTGGAAGTTCATAAGAATTATCAAACACTTGCTTTTGATTTAAAGAAATGCTTAAGCCTATCAAAACTTTCTTTAACTATTTACAGAAGAATGCAAACACGTCAAATATTTTCAGGTACTTTAAGAAAATAATTCAAAATACTGAATAAATTTTTTTTTTAATTTTTCTGTTTTATTAAAGGTTTTCAAATGATATGAATATGTCGGATGAAATAAACTCTTCACCTAATGAAGGTGACAATACTGCCTTTGAAGATCCATTGACTGACCCGCTTGCAATTGATGATGAATATGGAGTAAATAGTGATGAGAACATTTTGCATATTGATAACACTAGAGTAGATGATTTTGTATTTGTTGATATAGAAAAACTTAAAAACAATTCAAACAGTGTTGTCAAAAGGGAGTCTATAGGAATAAAACTCAAAAGTTCAAAACATATAGAACTTAGTGACATAAATGGAAATAAAAAGCAAATAATCGATGACTTAAAAGTGAATAGTCTAAAAAGTGATAAAAAAGAAGAATCAGATATAATAGAGGTTTCTCAAAAATTAGAATCTAGTGATAGAAGTGAATTGAGAAGTAGAAAAAATGTATCAATAAATAAAGTTATTGATGATTGCGATTCTCTTACAAATGAGAAAGTCAAATCAAGTTCCATAAAGGACAATGATATAAATAAAAATATTGACAATATTTCATTTGTGATAAGTGCTACATCGAGTGTTTCAGATGAAACTGAAGAAACAATAGATACATCTGAAGTACGAAGTGATGGTTCAGATTCTGGTCTTGGTTTAGATATTTTACGTAATATTTCAATGATTGAAAAATCTTTAGCTGTATTAACACCTTCTAAAAGTAGCTTAAAAAGACGATCATCTGAATTACTGCATGATGAACAGTCAAAAAAACAAAAACAAGGGATTAATTTCGGTAATGTTACCGTTTATTATTTTCCTAGATGTCAGGGCTTCGGATGTGTTCCAACTCAAGGAGGAAGTACTTTAGGAATGACTGCAAAGCATTCATATAAAAAGTAAGTCACACAGAATGCATTTATTTTATAAAACTTTATGTTTTTCATATTGAATTGATTTTTTTTTGCAGAACATTTTCATTGAGCGAACATACTTTAGAGCAAAGAAGATTAAATCGACTAAAAATAGCTGGGAGTGAATTTAATCATTGTAGTTCTTCTAGTGACGAGTCAAAAAGTGACGATGAAATAAGTGAAAATAGCTTATCAGAAGCTGACAGTGAAGCATATGGATTTTTACAACCTATCACAGCCCGCCAACGAAGAGCATTGTTAAAAAATGCAGGAGTTAGAAAAATTGATACCACTGAAAAAGATGAATGTAGACAACTTCGATCATCTCGTGAGATTTGTGGATGTAGCTGCCGAGGATTTTGTGATCCAGATACTTGTGAATGCAGTTTAGCGGGAATAAAATGTCAAGTTGATCGCTTAAAACCACATGAGTTTCCTTGTGGTTGTACGCGAGACGGTTGTGCAAACGTAAATGGAAGAGTCGAATTTAATCCTTCTAGAGTAAAAACACATTTCATTCATACAATCATGAGACTGGAACTGGAAAAACGACAAGAGCTTTCAGAAGACTCCAAAACAAACATCATTCCATCGCTTCCACCAGCAAAATGGTGGATGCGTCTTCAATCGACACAACCAAATAGTAATACAAGCACTAACTACAATAGCTACGTTTACAATAACGGAATATCCTCAAATCAATATTCTGGAAAAATTCCATCTTTATCAATGATGTCTGCATCAATGGCAAATCAAGAATCAATTGATTTACATTTTGCTTATCGTGATGAGTACATAAATAATTCAACGCTTAATACAGATACCAATAATAGTTCCTTTAACAGCAACTCTAACGATTATTTTTCTGGTTATAATTATTTGAGTACTACAGGATCAATATCACCTAATAATGCTGTGCATTGTGGATTCTCTTCAAATAGTTATTCTTACAACCAACATTATACAGATCTGCATAGGCAGAATAATATGACACAATTGAATTTTTCAACAGACTGTCAATATTCAAATTTTCCAGCAAATAATGGATCATCATTAAGCTATAAGGCAAATTCTGCAAGTGAAACTAATGAAATAACTTCAATAAACTATGTAGCAAATAACTTTTCATCGCCAATACAAAATGGTGCCGCAACCAGCAGAGTCAGTTATCAAAATATAACTTCATCACAATCACAAGAAATTTCAAATAATTCGGAAAATTTTTGTTCTAGTACTCAAAATGTTAATAGGGCCAGTTGCATTGGATTAGAACCAACAACTTCGAAAATTGATCAAAATGATTCTAATGAAAAACTTACCGAAATTATTAACAAATCAATTGTAGAATCAGTAACAGCATAATTATTATAAATAATAAAATTCTTTGCCATATACTTTCATATTCACTACACGTTTAATGTTATTATATATTAAATTTGATTTTTTTTTAATTCAGTGTTTTTAATTTTTCAATAAAATTTATCAAATCATTTTATGTGAAGTTTAATGTTACATAAAAACAGGTTTCAGAACGTTTGCAGGTATAAATTGAACAAGATGTGAATACTCGTAGTCTTTGATAATAACCAATAAAAACCATCAAATGCATTTTGCCCAATTCACAATGTATGAGTCTACTTAAACGGTTAAAAATTCTTTTTCAATCTGACCATATTCCTTTTCAGTATCAGAAACACCAAAGCAAAAATAATAATATTATCTCCTTGTTTCAAACATGCAGCTATGTCTAGCGCTATCCATCGGCTAATTTGAAATTCTGTGCTTGCTGTAGCTACATGATGACTCTATGTTTTTGTAGGATTTTTATTCAACGGAAAAAAAATATTTTGAATTTGACTTAAAATATAGGGTAAATACTTTTGAAATTTGCACAATTTAGCACATGAAAATTTCATTTGCTTGAAATCAGTGTTGCATTCTGGCCATTTGTCTGGATCAGATAAATTCTAAGTTAGTCCAAAATTGAAAATGTATTTCCTACTTGGTTCTTTGCTCAAAAAAATTTTAGGTTGTTTTATTTGTATTTGTTTTAAGCACTAGAATATTTATGCAAAGTTTCAATCCATTTGGATAAACCCTCGAAGAAAAAAGTGACAAAATTGATTTTGACAAGGGTCGCCCCTAGTCCAAAATTGAAAATGTATTTCCTACTTGGTTCTTTGCTCAAAAAAATTTTAGGTTATTTTATTTGTATTTGTTTTAAGCACTAGAATATTTATGCAAAGTTTCAATCCATTTGGATAAACCCTCGAAGAAAAAAGTGACAAAATTGATTTTGACTAGGGTCGCCCCTAGTCCAAAATTGAAAATGTATTTCCTTCTTGGTTCTTTGCTCAAAAAAATTTTAGGATGTTTTATTTGTATTTTTTTTAAGCACTAGAATATTTATGCAAAGTTTCAATCCATTTGGATAAACCCTCGAAGAAAAGAGTGACAAAATTGATTTTGACAAGGGTCGCCCCTAGTCCAAAATTGAAAATGTATTTCCTTCTTGGTTCTTTGCTCAAAAAAATTTTAAGATGTTTTATTTGTATTTGTTATGAACACTAGAATATTTATGCAAAGTTTCAATCCATTTGGATAAACCCTCGAAGAAAAGAGTGACAAAATTGATTTTGACAAGGGTCGCCCCTAGTCCAAAATTGAAAATGTATTTCCTACTTGGTTCTTTGCTCAAAAAAATTTTAGGTTATTTTATTTGTATCTGTTTTAAGCACGAAAATATTTATGCAAAGTTTCAATCCATTTGGATAAACCCTTGAAGAAAAGAGTTTTTTTTTTTTTTAAATTAAACTTTTTATTTATTTACATTTAAATTTAAGTATGTACAAAGTTTCTATACATTTTGTTGCTTTTTGTTTTAAGGTTTCAGGCATTCAATTTGCCTTTTGTCTCTTAATTTTGATTTCATTTACGGATTTTACTTTCTTTTGTATTTCATTTGATTTATTCGGTGTTTTGAGATGCAAGACGACTGTTGAAGTTCGCTTGCAACTTTCCGACGTAGTCTTCGATGGACGGTATTTTCGCTTCTGTATGAAGATCGGTGATCCTTTCATATCTTGTTTTATTGAGAACAATTCTCAAGAATTTGTTTTGCAGTACTTGAAGTTTTTGAAGATGGGTTTTTGCCATACTTCCAAACGCTGGACAACCATATGTGAATATTGGTCTGATGGCTAGCTTGTAGATGAGAAGTTTGTTTCGTACGTCGAGTTGTGAGTTCCTGCTGATGAGCGGATAAAGCTGTCTTAATGCGGTGTGAGCCCTATTGGTCACATACTCCACATGCGGCTTTAATGTCACTCTCTTGTCGATCACCATTCCCAGATATTTAGCTTCTGTTTCCCATTTGATGTTTTCGTTGAGAAATTTGATGTTATTTCCTGGTAGTTGCCTGGAGTGCCTGTTTGTGATGAATAAGGCTTGAGTCTTCTGTTTGTTGAGGTTGATCTTCCATTTGTTCATGTATTGTTGAACTTTTCTTCCTGTGTGCTGTAGATGTGTCACAATATCGGCCGAGTTCTCTGCAGAATGATACAGTGCTGTATCATCTGCGAAAAGACCGATGTTGTTGGTTGTCTCTCTTACAACATCATACGTGAAGATGTTGTAGAGAGTTGGTGAAAGCACTGCTCCTTGTGGCACTCCGAATTTGATTACCTTGATTTCTGAGAACTGACCTTTAATAAAAACTGCGAAAGATCTTTCACTGAGGAAAGATCTTACAGTTTTTATAAGTGGCAGTGGAAATCTCAGTTTGAGCATTTTGTACAAGAGTCCGTTATGCCAGACTCTGTCAAATGCTTTTTCTACATCCAGGAAGATCATGCCTGTTGACTTTTTGTTGTTTAAGTTTTCTTTTGCTGATTTGATCACTTTGATGAGCTGGTGAGATGTTGATCTTCCAGTCCGGAAGCCGCACTGCTGGTTTGGGATGATGTTGTTATCCTCAAGATGATCGTTGATTCTATTCAGTAATACTCTCTCCAGTATTTTGCTTATTGAGCTGAGTAGACTTATTGGCCTGTAGCTGCTTAGCTCATTTGCTGGTTTTCCAGGTTTTGGAATAGGAATCACTTTTGCATGTTTCCAAACTTTGGGGAAGTGGTTGAGTTTCAGACACGAATTGATGATGAATTTCAAGTATTCGAAACCTTTTTCAGGAAGATTTTTGATGAGTATGTTGTTGACTTCATCTAGTCCCGGAGCTTTTGGATTTTTCAGATTTCTTATGATGCTCACGATTTCGTTTACATCTGTTAGTTCTGGATTCTCATCATTGTCTTGTTCCAATGCTTCTTTGACTGTGTTGTTTACTTCCTGTGTATGTTGTGGATCGTTTTGTTCCAGAGGATTTTCGTGAGCTTCACGAAAATACTCGCTGAGTGCGCTGGCTTTTTCTTTGTTGGTGATGAACGTTTTACCCAGATTTGTCAAAGGAGGCATTGTTTTTGAACCTTTTTTGCAAAATTTTGCTATTCTCCAAACTGTTTGGTTTGACGGTTGAATCTCTGAGAGACGCTTATTCCAGTTTTTGTTTTTGAGTTCTTTAATTTTCTCATTGATGACTCTCTGTAGATAATTCAATTCAGATTTGAGTTGATTATCTCTGCTTCTCTGCCATCTTCGACGAAGACTCCTTTTTGTGTTGATTAGATCTTTAATCTCCGGTGTGAGTTTAGTTGATTCGAACTTGATCTTTTTCATTTTTAAAACTTGAGTTCCTCGCTTCCATGATGAGTTCAGAGAGAATCTTAATGTGATTCTCGATCTCATCTGTTGTATTGCAAGAATTTTCTCCAATGTTGTCTTCAATGCGGCGTGAAATTTGTGCTTTGAACTTTTTCCAGTTTGCGTTTTTGTAGTCATATCTGTAGACTGTATTTTCAGTTCTGTCGATTTTTGATGTTTTGATTTGGAAATACACAGCGCAGTGATCACTCATTGCCTCTGTGCATTGAAGTTCTGTTGTTTCGAGGTTGGAATTCGAGAGCATCAGGTCAATTGTTGACACTGATTTGTTTCGATCTTCTGGGTAGTACGTTGGCGAGTCAGGAAAGTAGATCATGAACTCTCCTGACATTTCCTGAAGAATATTTCCTGATTTATTTGCAACGTTGCAGTTCCATTCTCGATGTTTTGCATTGAAGTCTCCACAGATGTAGTAATTTCCTCTCAGATTTGTTATTTTGTTGATGTCATCTCTCAGATGTAGATCTATTTCCCCTCCTTTGCTTCCTCCTGGGAGATAGACTGAGAGGATGTGACAACTATCCGTGTCATTGATGAAGACTTTGATTCCAATGCATTCCATTAGTTTTGTGTTGTAGCTTGGTTGAAGCTGATGTTTTAGATTTCTTTTGACGATGATTGCAACACCACCCTTTGGTCTATCCACGCGATCCAATCGATGAATTACGTAGTCTGGATGCGAGTCAATTTTTGAGTTTGGTTTTAGGAATGTTTCTGAGATGCAAGCAACATCGACGTTTTGCTTGCTTAGGTAGTCGAGAAATGCTAACATTTTGTCAGTGAGGCCGTTAGCATTCCAGTAGAGGACGTTGATACTTTGTTGTCTACAATCCATTATTGTATGCGGTGTTTTTGGCACTTGAGCCGATTGCTTGGAGTATTTCGTCGATGAACTCTGGATTTTTGGCGATTAATTTGAGAAGCTCGCTGATAAGGTACTTGCACTTTGATTCCTCTATTTCTGAGATGTTTTTATCTCTTGTGCTGGTGCTTTGAGCTTGTTGATTAGTTGTTATGTTTCGATTCACTACCTCAACACTGAATGAAGGTTCTGGGAAGACTTCATTCGAGGTCTGACTTGTTGCACTGATGTCTTCTGAGTCCATAAGCTCAACAACTTGCTTTGGTTTTTGATGTTGATTGTTATTAATGCGCTCGTTTTGCTTTTTTCTTTGATTCTTTTTCCAATGTTTTCCTCTTTCTTTATTGTTTTGTTGGTTGTTCAAGTTATTTTTATTTCCCTGATTTGAGGGTTTGTGATTTGGAGGAGGATTTGTGTTCCTTGGTTTGTGGTTGACTGGAACTTGTTTTTGATGAACAGGCTTTTGTGTACCAGATGTTGATGGTTCCATATACTCCTTTCTCCATTGAGGTTTTGGTGCATGTTGGACGTTTCTGGTTGATCTCTCAGGACGATGCGGTGTTGGAGGATTGTTTCTCCGTTGTCCATATGAATAATGGCCTGCTGTTTTGTTTTGATTTTGGTTGTTTCCATTTTGTGATTTTGATTTCCATTTTTCAATTATTTCTTGTCTGGTTTTACAACCTGTGAAAATTGCTGTATGTTTTTCACCGCAGAAGAAACATTTGAGTTTTCCGAGTGGAACCTTGTTGGTCTCTTTCGATATGTACTGGCACGTTTTCGAGTCATGTTGCTCAGAGCATCTGAAGCAAACGGACGGTTTGTTACAACCGTTTTGTCCATGACCAAACTGCAGA